TTGATGTAACGATGTGGGAGATGAGCCTTTGTCCCGAATAGAAGACGTGCACACTTGTCGAGAAGGCGATCACACTGCAAGACAAGGAAAAAAGTGAAAGGTCTCTGGCGTGATAACTTGTCCGCATATCCTAGACATAATAATCCTGCCATAACACAAAACTGTCCGAAAGGGTTCAAGTAATGTATCCGATTAAATTACTGTAATAGGAAGAACTATAGACATACATGATGTACATAGATATAAGGTTACTACATTCCATCCTATACCATCCCCTAAACACTGTTAGGTACGGAATATACTCACCTATGGTACATGTCTTCCTGAACCTATGAAGCATTCTGTTCCATTGATGAAATTAAGGGGGGGTCCAATAGGGTGGGAAATATTCGCCTCCTGTCATTACTAAAATTAAGATTATTAGTACACTAAAGCTAGTATAATCTTCAATTTTACCACATGACAGGAGGCTTCATATTTGCATTTTTAAAGCTTGGAATTGATAAGTGTGAAGGAAGCATGAGATGTTTGACGGAAATAGAACGTCCTGAAAGTACTTTCTCGTGTCCAGTCTGCGCAGCGCATAATGTCTATTAGAGAGGCGCCCGCCGTTAAGGCTTTGGAGGCTGCCGCCCCTCTGACCGAATGTGCGCCGAAGTGAGGTTCAACGCCTGCTAACGATAGTAGCCAGCGGACCCATCTAGCCAGTGTAGTCGTGGACACCGGTCCGTGAGGCCTTACATAGGAAATCAAAAGTTGACCCGTCGAACTGGTTCGAAGGGGAGCTGTGGTTTCCGTATATCTCATTAGTGTCCTGACAACGCACAGTTTGGGATCTGAGCCAAAGTACGGGTACGATATCGAGGTGGAATCCGATTTAGTCCGTCTTGATATGGAAAAAATAACTCCTTCTGGAGTGATGGAGAACCCGTCCACGTTGAATGCTCTAACGTCTGACACTCGTCGGAACGAGACGAGACATAGTAAGAGGGTCAGTTTGGCTGAAAGTTGTTTCAGTGACAGATAGGGGTTATCTGGCCATGCCCTAAGAAAATCCAGCACCACGTCTACCTGCCAGAGGTTAGAATATTTGGGTGCTGGTGGTCTCGTTAGCTTAGCGCCCCGCAGAAGTCGGCATATCAGTGGGTCCTGACCCACTGGTCTGCCTTGTATTGGGACGTGTGCCGCCGATATGGCTGATCTGATCACGTTGAGGGACCGATACGATCGTCCCAGCGAGAACAGATGAGCTAGGTAGTTAAGGATCAGCGGGATAGGGGCATTAAAGGGATCGGAGTCCCTTTCCACACACCAATCACTCCCATGCGGATATATAGCATTTCCTGGTGCCTGGAGCCCATGAGTCCCATAGGAGGTCCTTAGTCGATTGTGATAGGCCGTGGACTGACCAGGAGCCCCTGAAATCGTCCAAGTCACTAGTTCTAGTTGCCCTTCCAGGATGAGGGGATGTGGTTCTCCTCGAGGTCCCGTCAGAAGTCGTGGGAAGGCAGGGAGTAGTAAGGGATGTCCGTGGGACATCTCCAGGAGGTCTGGGAACCACGGTTGACTCTGCCAAAGGGGGGTTATCAGTAGAAGCGATAGTTTGCGAGTGCATGTGTATCGCAGTACCCGTGGTATCATGGAGAATGGTCGGAAGGCGTAAGCCCCTAGAATGGGCCAGTCCTGCAGGAATGCGTCTGCCGCTTCGCTCTTCGGATCTGGGAGCCAACTGTAGTATCTCGGCAGTTGGTGGTTGGTCCTGGAGGCGAACAAGTCTACTGTTAGCGGGTATGTCCCCCGTCGTAATTCTTGGAATATCTCCCTGTTGAGTTTCCAATCGCTGGTGTCTCGCCAGTGGCGTGAGAACCAATCCGCCGTCAGGTTGGAGATTCCTGGTAGGTATTCCGCCTGCAGCGTGATGTTCCGTCGCAGGCAAAAGCTGTAGATGTCCTTCGTGGCTTCCGTCAATGCTCGAGATCTCGCTCCGCCTAGGCGGTTGATGTACTGTACCGCCGAAATGTTGTCCATGCGGAGCAGAATACAGCAATTCGATTTGTCCTTGGCCAGGCTGCAGATGGCGAAGGATCCTGCAATCAGTTCCAGGCAGTTGATGTGTAGGTTGGTCTCCTCCTCTTGCCATGGGGCCTCCCGTGGAGGCGTCCGTGCAGTGAGCTCCCCATCCCCATAAGCTGGCGTCCGATTCCACGATGAAGTCCGGGGAAGAGCCGAAGATAGCCTTTCCATTCCAGGCTTGCATGTGTAGTAACCACCATCGAAGTTCCGTCCTCACTTCCGTCGACAGTGGGATCCATTGGTCGTACGAGTGCCCGGTGCGGAGGTATGCCGCCTTCAGCCGTTGCATGGCCCTGTAGTGGAGCGGGCCTGGGAATATCGCTTGTATGGAGGAGGAAAGGAGTCCCACAATCCGAGCGAGCATCCTGAGTGGTATTGTGTCCATCCTCAGAACCCGTCTGATTTCTTTCCTTATCGAGGCTATCTTTGTCGAGGGGAGGCGTAGTACGCAGTCCTTCAATTCGATATCGAAGCCGAGGAACTGAACCGACTGGGAAGGAGAGAGAGACGATTTTTGTCTGTTCACTACGAAACCTAAAGATTCCAGCAAGTGAACGACAAACTTCGTCTGCAATCGTAGTCTGGAGGCTGATTCGCAGAAAATTAGCAAATCGTCTGTTTTCTTTTTGACCAGGAAGATGTTGCTTATAAAGCCTCCCCCTTCTGGTGCGTATTGTACTGCGCCTTTCCTGAAGGGCGTGTGGATCTCCTCGTCCACCAAGTGTTCTTGTTCCTTTGACAAGTGAATCGGAGGAGGGGGGTTGGATTGTATGGGTTTTGTGAAGAAGTCTATGAGGAAGCCTCGTACTGTCTGTAGGACCCAGGCGTCTTTGGTAATCAGCTCCCAGTTCTGAAAGAAAAGGGACAGGCTGCCTGCTATAAAGTGTGAAACATTTTGGAATGTAGGTGGACTCACCAGTGGAGAAGCGGCCGCGTCCCCGACCTCTGAATCCTCTAGACCTCCCCGTCCCTCGGAACGAAGCGGGCCTTTGCGTCGAAGATGGGAAGAAACTCTGGGTCTGCGGGAGTGATCTGGAACCGGAGGTCCAAAAACGGCTGGTGGCTCGGTTCCGCTGCCGACCAGCCCTTCCAAAAACACCCCTTGTAGTCGGGGTATGAAAAACTTGCTTGAGTGAGGTTTGGGCCTTTTTCAAAGTGGTGAAAAGGTTTACGTGCTTCTTAAGTTCTGCGATGAAGGCGTCGCCAAACAGCTGTCCTTGGGCTTTCGGTCCGAATTCTTTTGCCCCGAGGTCCAGGAGCTTGCTATCAATGCGGATTAGTGCCGATCTGCGTCTTTCGGTGCACAATGCGTTGTTTGCGTTGCCCAGAAGGCACACCGATCTTTGAGCCCATTCCCGTATGATGTGAGGGTCTAGTTGGGAGCCTTGGCTGAGGGCTAGGTCTGCGAAATAGAGTATTTTCGCGATGGGGCCGAGTAGGTCCAGCACCTTATCCTGTGCCGCCTTCATGCCTTTTTCCACTCCCTTTCGGGGGTCTCGGCCCGAGCGTGACATAAAGACCACCACCGTATTGTCAAACTCAGGGGTAAATGCCACTTTGTCGGGTAACAGGGGTCTGGGGCATTCGGCCCGGAGGCGTGCTCGTACCTCCCTTTCCAGTGGCTTGCGCAGCCAGAAGTGAATGAACTTCATCAGGTGTTCCGGTAGGCTCCACTCGGAAGACCGTGGGTGTCGGATGGAACGTGGGTCGAAGAGTGGGTTCCCTTGGTCATCCATAAACACTCCATCTCCGGTCTTATCGGTGTTGCTATCTCTGTCTCGGTCGGTGGTGTCGAGAAAGGTCTCTTTAACGTATCTCGAGGAGGTGGGAGGTAAGTCCTGCCATTCCTCTTCTTCGGAAATTGAGTCCTCCCCGTGCCACTCGTCGACCACGTCCAAGGTGCGTGGTACATAGGAGTCCTCTTCGTCGGAGGATGGAGGTGGTTGGGGTGCGGGCTGTAGTCGTGGTCTTACTCCGTTTGGTGGGTGATTTGCCCCTAGTCTTAGTGGAAGGGGGGGCTCAAAACCTTTCGCTGTCGTTTTATTTTGGACATCTCTGAGCCCAAAGCCTCCATCCGTTCTGGGGGACTCATGTCGCCCTGACTTTGGGGTAGAGCTTTCAAGAGGGCTTTTTCTACAGATGCCGTCACTGCAGCATTAATCATAGCCTGAAAGTCCTGACTATTTTGGGTGTCTTCCATGACTTGTGTGTTTTTCTCGTCCTGTTGGGCGATAATGAAAGTCAGTGGAAGCAGTGGAGAAGAGTCAGTACATGTAGTGACAGACTCCTGGTACAACTGGGGGGCCGCCCGGTTGGTAAAATTGTGTTTAGAGGCGTATTGTATACGGGCTGTTGCCTAATACAGAGGCCGCCTGATATGAGCTCAGTGGTGGTGTATAGTTAGGGTTCGCCACAGTTGTACACCAGAGCTGTATGCACGTTGGGTAGTAATCAGGGTTAAATGCCAGTTGAGGGTAGGTCCTCGTGCATATACTCGGGGTTCACCCCGGGTGGTGTGCCGTGGTAACCAGAGGACACCCACATAAGATAATGGTCAGTGACCTTGCATGCATATCTGGGGGGTCACCCCAGGTGGTGTGCCATGAAAAATACCCAGAGGACACCCACATCAATTTGCACCGTCAGGAACAGTGATATAATGCAACCCTTGATGGGTGCTGCAACATAATATGCCCTTGGAGGGTACAGCAATACAGTATGACCCTGTAAAGGGTATGGTAATAATATGCCTCTTGTGATTGTATAGAAGTAGTACAACAGTGTGGTTGTAGGGGTACAGATTCATTCAGCTTGTTGCATGCAATATACATATGCCCAGTGTTGTGGGCAACTGGAGACTAAATCCTAGAAATCTGTTCATACCCCATAAAAATAAATGAAAAATATATATAGTGCAGTGTTGTCCCTAGTAGGGTCCCTTGTAGGGGTAATGGAGGTGTTGAGCGGTGATCGGGTGATTCCCGATCCACTTTACTGTAGAGCGAGGCGGCCGCCGAGGATCTCACGAGATGCGAGATCCAAGATGGCCGCCGGCCACGAATGCCGCCGACCGCGTGTGTACTCGCTCGCGGCCGCAGGAGGAAGGCGCGGCGAGAGAAAATAAAAACTACCCGGTCCCCCTCTACCCGTCCCCACAAAGTCCCCGAGCAAAAAGAGGATAGGTCCGCGTGGCGAGCATGGCACCGGCAGCCGTGACGCCCGCGGACCTACAGACAAAATAGGAAATACAATATAGAATATAATAGTAGTTATGAGGAGGGGAAGCAGGGAGAGAGGAATAGAGAGCCAGGAGTAGAAGGGTATAAAGAGTTAGGTGTAAACATTAACAAGTATAATAAATCATAACATGTCACAGAGAGGTAAAAGTACTCTGACCTGTAGGCTGGAGCAGCAAAGAAAGAGGAAGTGATGTCATAGACAGGGCCTTTTATGGGCACCATATCTTTTCTCTGATTGGTTGTTACTGTTTCTATGCTGCTGGAGTTTACAGTAAAGAAAGATATGCAAATATGAAGCCTCCTGTCATGTGGTAAAAATAAAATGTATTAGTGTAAAAAAAAAAATATACTTAGATCATATATATTATATATATATATGATCTAAGTATATATATACACATATACATACACACACGTACACCGTCTAGGTGTATTTTACTATTTATATATATATATATTATATATATTAATATCAAATTACACGTAGACTGATACTGATTATTATATTATTGCTGCGATACTTTTTACTGTTTTGAAACACAAATATTTGTGTTCAGCAAAGTCTCCCGAGTAAAACAGTACCCCACATGTACAGGTTTTATGGTGTTTTCAAAAGTTACAGCGTCAAATATAAGGCTTGCGTTTCATTTTTTTCACATTAAAATTCGCCAGATTGGTTACGTTGCCTTTGAGACCCTATGGTAGCCCAAGATTGAAAATTACCCCTATGATGGCATACCATTTGCAATAGTAGACAACCCAAGGTATTGCAAACGGGTATGTCCAGTCTTTTTTAGTAGCCACTTAGTCACAAACACTGGCCAAAATTGGCGTTTTTTGCATTTTTCACACACAAACAAATACTAACGCTAACTTTGGCCAGTGTTTGTGACCAAATGGCTACTAAAAAAGACTGGACATACCCCATTTGCAATACCTTGGGTTGTCTATTATTGCAAATGGTATGCTATTATGGGTGTAAATTTCATTCCTGGGCTACTATACAGTCTCAAAGGTAACGTAACCAATCTGGTGAATTTCAATTTCAAATGTAACGTGCTATATTTGACCCTGTAACTTCCCAAAACGCCATAAAACCTGTACATAGGAGGTACTGTTTTACACGTGAGACTTTGCTGAATACAAATATGTGTATTTTATTGCAGTAAAAGCAAACAGTATTATGACATTGACAGTTAAAATGTCATGTAGAACTAAAAATAAAAATCTTATTTTCTCCCATTTTTTCATATTAAATTATGTTTCATAGCTAAATATTTGATATTAAATGAAAGCCCTGTTTTCCCTGAATAAAATGATATATAATAAGGGTGGGTGCATTTACTATGAAAGAGGTGAATTACGGTTGGACAGACATGTAGCGCAAATGCCAGGTTTTGTTTACATTTTTTGGGTTCACAACGTGTACATTTGGCTCCGTCCTTAAGGGGTTAATTCTTGTACTGGGTTCGGTATGTACCGTGAGTAAGCGGATGACTTCCAGCGCCCCAGTGTTTTGATAACATGAGTTGGGATGTTAACACTGGAGGCTGTGGACGCGGCTCCTATAAGAAAAGAGTGTCCTGAGTATTTGTTTGCGTTGAGGCCCAGTTGTGTGAGCAAGGACCTGACGTAGGTCATGAAGGTTGTAGTGGTGAGTACTGCACCTTGTAGTTGTAATAACGGTTGCGAGGGCAGTAAGTGATGGTGCTGTATGTAGGCATCAAGAACCTTGACGGGACACCATCTGTTGTGCGTGGGATAGTACGGAATGTTTACAGGTATGTGCTGACTGGTTTTGGAGTGAGGTAAAGACAGGATGTAATGATCCATATGTTTTGTCAAGTGGGAATAGAGGAGGAATTGAGTGGTTTGGGTCGTGGAGGTCGTAGTGAATTCTCTAGGTCGTAGAAATCCGTAGAAAGCGATGTATATTGCTGTTTTGATGATAGAATTTGTATTAGTGTCAAACGGTTTTAGGTCAAGTAGGTTAGCTAATGCTTTGAAGATATGGTTATCTATGGGTAGCCTCTGGGCCAAATGTGTGGGTTCTGATTTTTGAATACCTCTGAGTATGGTCTTAATTTGGTGAGAGGCCATGAAACTGTTGTTATTTGGGTGTAAGATGAGCATGTGGTGTTGAATGCCAGTGAGATAGAGTTTGATGGTGTTGTATGACATTTTGAGTTTAAGGTGGCAAAAGGAAGCAAACCCCCAAAAAGATGTCATAACAAACGGTTGTATGATGTTATGTTCCAGAAGGAATCGTTTGAATAGTGTGAAAGCCCTGCTGTATGTTTTGTTTGTATTGTTTGAAAGTGCCAACTGGGACAATGTCCTGCTATGCTGCATGATGACGTCTAGTCCAGTATGAGTTGTTGAAATGTTGGAGTGATGGTGGCTGTGGGTGCTGCTGACGGGAGTGCTTGATGAAACTCCTGAAATTTAAAGCGAGACAAATTGTCAGCAGCTGTGTTATATACACCTGGCACATGGAAACAACATAGGAAGAAATTATGACAAGCTGCCAACCAAGTGAGTTTCCTCAGAAATCTCATGATCGTAAGAGATTTGGAACGACCTTTGTTGATGATGTGACAGGTTGCCTGGTTGTCTGAGTAACAACGCACTGGCGTATTAGCCCATAAATGACCCCACGCTACGGCAGCCGCCACTATGGGGTAGATCTCAAAAAGAGCTGAGGTAGTGGAAAAACCTTCCAAATCCTGAACTGCTGAAGGCCAGCTGCCCCAAAGCCATTCGTTCCCAAAAATTGCTGCAAAACCAGTGGTAGATGCCGCATCTGACCAAATGGTAGGAGATGATTCAGTCAATTGAGGGAGGAACATACTTTTACCATTCCAAGTGGTTAAAAATCTCTTCCACATGTTTAGGTCTGCCGTAGCTTGGGCATCTAAGGACAACCTGTGCGTGTCATGTAGAAAAAGTGGGGAAAGATGCAATAGTCGTGAAATAAAGGAGCGGGCTTGAGGTATGATGAGCATCGCAAAATTTAGTGACCCTAGCAGGGACTGTAGCTCTTTGCGGTTGCAAGTGCCGAGCTGTAGGTAGTTTATGTAAGTGAGAATATTCTCTATCTTATCGTATGGTAGGCTTGCTTGCATTGTGGCAGAGTCTAATTGGATACCCAGAAAAGTGATAACCGTGTCTGGCCCTTCTGTTTCTTTGGGGAGATGGGTACACCTAGTTGCTCAAACAGCTTAGTGGTAGCTTTGAGGCTAGTGGGAGGTGAAGTATTCTCCTCGACCAGTAGGAAATCGTCCAAGTAATGTAATACCGTAGGGCAGCCGGCTATGTTCAATAGTAACCAGCATAATCCTTCGGCAAAATGTGTTGAAAATAGCTGGGCTACTTTTGGACCCAAAAGTTAACCGGGAGAAAAAATAATAGTTCCCGGACCACTTGATGCCATGCAGGTGCCACAGTGTGGGGTGGATAGGGAGTAATTTGAAGGCGTTAGTAATGTCGGTCTTACTGAGCCAGGCTCCAACCCCTGCTTGTATGATAGCTGTAATGGCGTGATCTATGGTGGTGTATTGCAGAGAGAATTCCTCAGAGGGTATGAGGGAATTAAGACTGGGGTTGGCCGATGAGTGGGGAGCCGATAAGTCAATGATGAGTCTCTGTTTTTGGGAAGATTTCCCTGTGACAATACCAATAGGGTTGGTGCACCATTCTGTGAATGGAGGAGTTCTAAAAGGCCCCAATACAAAGCCCTCATCCACTTCTTGGGCTATGAGGGTGTCAAACACTGTGGGGTTGTGTTGGGCGGATTGTAGGTTAGGGCTTTCCAGAGTTCCAGCTGGTATGTGTAGGATACCTGTGTGGAAGCCTTCTGTTAAACCAGAAATAAGAAAGTCTACCAGGTGTCTAGATGGGTGCTGAGACATCAATGCTGTGAATACTGGCATATTAATGGACGTAAGGTAAGGCTTGGAATACATTTTATTTGGACACATGGTCTTTGCATGTGCCCTAAAACATTTTGAACAGACATGCAATAGTCTACATCCACTGTAATTACAAGACCCAACATTGAAATTATTACATATTTGGGACTTGCCCAGAAACTTGATTGGGCGTCCCAATTTGTCTTTGGATAGTTTCCCTGGATCCCCAGAGGAACTAGTTCCTTGTGTGGAGGCATGTCCGTCTGCCGTGTTGGGACAAAAATTAGTAGTATGGGCTGTGGAGGAGCAGTATGCACAAGCTGGTGTTCTTAGACCTGCAAAGTGTCTGCAAAATAAGACGGTATCAATCCTTCCCCAGTTGGATCGTGTTCCGTACTGGGAGAAGGCTCCAGCCACTTTTGCAGAAAAAGACCTATGGTAGTCATAGAATGCCGAACCACCATATTTGTTGCCCAGGTCTACCAGCTTGTGCATATAGAGATCAAACTCCTCTCTTCTGTTGGGATAAACCGCACAGATGACATCCCTGTAAATACCAAACGCTAGTACAAATTCTGGGATAGTTAGTTTTCTGTTCAGGCGGGCATCCCTAGATCTGACAATAACAGAAACATCATCATAAGCATACGTCTTATGTTCCACAATGTCCTGGGAGGCAATCAACAGGCAAGCCAGGTTGACGTCTTTACCTTCCAGGATATCCCTTTTGATATGCTCAGGTATCATGTGGGCCGGGCTAACTTCCTGGTCATCCAGGGTGCTAGTTGGAGCGACTAATGGCAAGTCTGGTGTTTGTACCGCAGCCGCGGGTGGCCCTGCTAGAGTGAGGGCCGTGGTGACCGACTCAAGTTTCTCCAGCCTGGAGTTGACCTTGCCCATGGATGCCATGAGTGAGGATAACATGGCATGTATGTCCCCTGGGTTGGACTGGCTAGATCCTTCCCCGGCCTCTATGTTATTAGTTGATGTGCGTAGCAGTTTGAAAAGTTCTGCCTTCCTTGCTGTAGCGGGATAGGGGATTTGTTGTCTCCTTAATTCCGTGGTTATGCGCGGGATTGTCCAGGATCTGATTGATGCTGGACTAGCTAGCTCTCCTCCTTGTGGGGAGTGACAGCTCTAGCCGGGGTGCTAGGCAGGGAGAAATTCTCTACCCCTTCCTGAGACATACTATAAATAAAACAATAATTAGTATATAGAACCACCAAATTGTACTGGCAGGCTAGCTAGGCCGGATGGCGAAAGTATTATACTTGTTTGGTGACAGGTGAGGCCCTGCTAATTGCCAAGCGGCTTGAGAGGCTCTATGCGTTGGCGCGAGGGGTTATTGAGGCCACTTGACGTAGTGGCAGGAGTTTTAGGCCACTCGGTGACTGTACGACAGAAAACAGAGGAAGGTAGTGACAGGTGAGGCCCTCTCTTTGCAACATGCGAGGCGGCTAGCTAACGTGTGGCCCGATGGGTGTTTGCCTCTGGAACGTTTGAGGCGGGGTGTTGGCCTCGCGGGACCACTAACTGATGGCGACAGCCAAGACGGGGTAAATACCTATTGGGAATCTTGTGACCCTATTGCCAGTACTCTAAACTAGGGGGATGAAATGAAATGTATGGTAGAATACCATATGAGCAGGTGTACGTACCTGGTAGTATGACAAATCACAGGAATAAACCGTGTGGAGCAAATATATAAGCTTGACAGCCTAAAAATGGGTAAAAGAGAGTAGTATGATGAGTGTGGAGTGTGAAAAGAACCAGACTTATAGTCCGTAGCAGCAATGTTTTAAAATTATGTTGATACCATGGGAATAGCTATGAGTGGCTCAGAAATGTTGCAAGCTTGAATAAGCCATCTGAGGGAGGCCGTGGCCTATGTATAAACGATTTATGTGTTACGTGATAATGGTGTGTAAATGAAAACATGAGATGTAGGTTATATACATATGTATATGACTGTGCAGGGAACGTATGATTGGTTGGATCAGTACGTGTGATTCAACCCGAGTATGCATGAAAAAGGAATTAAGCCTTATGTGTCATCGTCATGACAGAGAAATGAGGCCTGTAATATAGGCTGAGTGAATTGAAATGAAAATAAATAATTATAAAACTCCTGGCGTGGGAGTTCAATGATCTAAATGTAACTGGTTTTATAGAAAGGGACATGGATGAGGTCATGGCCTATTTTACACAGCGTTATGTATGATATGTAGCAGAAAACCAAAGGCAGGGATACCCCAAAATTATTTAAAATGATGTGAAGTGATGTATATCTATATGATATATTTGTATTGAAAAGACGTATCAACCCGAGAATTATTGCTTAAATGAAACTATATCGTTTGTATGTGTTGTAGTAATAACCCAGAAGTGAGGCCTGTAACATAGGCTGAGTCCATTTGTATAAATGGATAAGTAATGCAGACCCCTGAAAGCGTGGGAGTCAAATGGTATATACAGATAAGTGGACTTGATTTGTGGACGTAATACAATACTGACAAATAACTGACAGTAATCGAAATAATCTATTTAAACAAGCAATTCTTAACCGAACGTTATATACACATGAAATGGTGAATATAATTCATGAAAGGATTATACGTAATATACAGAAAAAGCCAAAAGCAAATGTGAGGGAAACACAGAAGTTAGAATAGTTTAACCGTATGACTTTATGCGAACCGAAAGCGTGTTTGAGCGTATGTGAAAATTTGCCGAACGGCAAAACAACCGATTTATAATTCGTTTCAATATAACATGAAATAGGATATGCGAAATGACAATTGAACGATTAAATATGTTCAGCCGAATGACCGTACGAATGAAAAAGCACGCGAATTGCTTGAAACATTTGTGTCATAACCAGGGGAAAAACGTAAAGCAAGGACCCGTGCTGTACCGTACGCCGTGGGAACAAGTCCTGGCGTGACAGGAAGGTCTGACTTACGGTTTAGGAGTCCCTGGGACGCGATCTACGACGAAGACCGGAGTCAGAAGAAGCTGGACGGACGGAAAGGCCTGAACAGGATTCCTGGACACAGCTAACGTGGTGAAAACCACGTGGATACTGAAACCAAGATGGCGTCTGAGAGAACCCGGAAGTGGATCCTCATTCAACGCTGACCTCAAACGGTAAGGAGCAAGGTAAGGGGAGTGCCTTAAGTAGGCTAGGGGTAGCAAACCAGCACCTCCCACAAATGCAGGCAAATTGCCTTAATACATATATATATATATATATATACACACACATACATATACACACACACACACACACCAATTTGAGCTCCAGACACTCGACGGCAAAACACCGCTGTTCGGGAGTTTGAAAATGGCCGCCGCCACGTGTTCGTTTCCCGAATGGCGGCCACCCCCGAGAACAAAGGACGGCTACTCAGCTTGTCAATTACCCGTTCGCAACAATGTTGCAAAGGGTAATTGAAGGCACACTTCACACAAGGGAGGTCTGACTGTTCGGTAGTTTCATTCTAAGGGAATTAAACTACCTAACATTCAGACGAATACAATACAGTTAACACATAGAACTTTGCTATTTTACACGAATGCATTCAAATACATGTAATTCTCAGGACATTCCAGTGCCATCCGCTACAATATACACACACACACACACACACACACACACACACACACATATATATATATATATATATATATATATATATATATATATATATATATATATATATATATATATAAATAAAATAATTCTATGTAAATATTTAATTTGCCAGCACTATATTTAACCCTGTAACTTTCCAAGACACCATAAAATATGTACATGGGGAGGGGGTTATGGTTTTATTCAGAAGACTTCGCTGAACACAAATATTAGTGTTTCAAAACAGTAACATGTATTACAACAATGTTGTCAGTGAAAGTTTTTTAATTTTTCACACCCAAATGGCACTTGCACAGACAATATAATGGTTGGGATAAGTTTTACAGTTTTGAAACACTAATGTTTGTGTTCAGCGAAGTCTACCGAGTATAACAGTACCCTTCATGTACAGGTTTTATGTTGTTTTCAAAAGGTAGAGAGTCAAATTTAAGGCTTGCGTTTCAGGTTTTTCACATTGAAATTCGCCAGATTGGTTACATTGCCTTGGAGACTGTACGGGAGCCCAGGAATGAGAATTACCCCCATAATGGCATAACATTTGCAAAAGTAGACAACCCAAGGTATTGCAAATGGGATATGTCCAGTCTTTTTTAGTAGCCACTTAGTCACAAACACTGGCCAAAATTGGTGTTTTTTGCATTTTTAACACACAAACAAATACTAACGCTAACTTTGGCCAGTGTTTGTGACCAAATGGCTATTAAAAAAGACTGGACATACCCCATTTGCAATACCTTGGGGTGTCTACTATTGCAAATGGTATGCCATTGTGGGTGTAAATTTAATTCCTGGGCTACTATACAGTCTCAAAGGCAACGTAACCAATCTGGCGAATTTCAAATTCAAATGTAACGTTCTATATTTGACCCTGTAACTTCCCAAAACGCCATAAAACGTGTACATAGGGGGTACTGTTTTACACATGAGACATCGCTGAATACAAATATGTGTATTTTATTGCAGTAAAAGCAAACGGTATTATGACCTTCACAGTTAGAATGTCACGTAGAACTAAACATTTTTTTAAAACTTATTTTCTCCCATTTTTTATATTTTATTCATATTAAATTATGTTTTATACCTAAATATTTGATGTTAAATGAAAGCCCGGTTTCCCCTGAATAAAATGATATATAATAGGTGTGGGTGCACATAATATGAAAGAGGTGAATTACGGTTGAACAGACATATAGTCAAATGCCAGGTTTTGTTAACGTTTTGTTTTGATCACAACGTGTACATTTGGCTCAGTCCTTAACCCCTTAACGCCGTTACAGTGTTCTATGCCGTCGCGGCTTTACAGCAGTTGCGGTGGCATTGAACACCGTAACAGCTTAAGCCCCCTGGAGATTTGATCAACTTACCTCCGCCGCGATCCTCTTCTGGAGGGCTGCCGGACAGCCCAGGCAGCCCTCCCTCGGCAAATGAGGCCCCCCTATAGCTGGCTGTGGATCTGCCAGCAAGGGGACTGTCTGAAATAGCATTTGAAAAATACCATTTGAAAAGGTAGACAAGCCAAGGTATTGCAAGTGGGGTATGTCCAGTCTTTCTTAGTAGCCACTTAGTCACAAACACTGTCCAAATATTAGTTTTTTGCTTTTTTTCACACAAAAATAAATATGAACGCTAACTTTGGCCAGTGTTTATGACTAAGTGGCTACTAAAAAAGACTAAAACATACCCCACTTTCAATACCTTGGCTTGTCTACCTTTTCAAATGGTATGCCATTATCGGGGTAATTCTCATTCCTGGGCTACCACACCATCTCAAAATTAACATTACTAATCTGACAAATTTCAATTTGAAAATGGAAGTTCTATAATTGACCCTGTAACTTTCCAAAACACCATAAAACTTGTTAATGGGGGGTACTGTTGTACTCGTGAGACAGCGCTGATTACAAATATGTGCATTTTTTTGCAGTAAAACCTAACAGTATTATGACATTTACAGCTAAAATGTGAGGTGGAACTACCAATTAAAAAAATAAAAAATTGTTTTTTTAATTTTACTCATAATTAATTATGTTTCATATATAAATATTTGATATGAAATGAAAGCCGTTTCTCCTGAACAAAATGATATATAATAAGTGTGGGTGCATTTAATATGAAAGAGGTGAATTACGGTTGAACAGATATAGTGCAAATTCCAGTTTTTGTTTACGGTTTGTTTTGATCAGAACGTGTACTATAGACTCCATCCTGAAGGGGTTAAGGGGTTGTGTCACAAAGATTAAATATTTTGTTTTTCAGTTTAACTCATGGATGGTATTTTGTCTCTGGGCTCTCTTGATCCCTGAAAACAATCTCGGACACCTGTGATAATTAGATTGCCAGGTGAGCCCAATTTAAGGAAAAACTACTAAAGGAGGGTGTTCCATATTATTAAGCAGAGCACAATTTTCATGCAATATGGGGAAGAAAAAGGATCTCTCTGCTGCCGAAAAGAGTGAAATGGTTCAATGCCTTGGACGAGGTATGAAAACATTAGATATTTCACGAAAACTTAAGCGTGATCACCGCACTATTAAGAGATTTGTGGCTGATTCAGAGCAGAGACGGGTTTGTGCAGATAAAGGCACATTGAGGAAGACTTCTGCCAGATCCATGCATTGGATCAAGAGAGCAGCTGCTAAAATACCATTACATAGCAGCAAACCGATATTTGAAGCTGCTGGTGCCTCTGAAGTCCCACAGACATCAAGGTGTAGAGTCCTCCAGAGTCATGCAACTGTGCATAAACCTTCTATTCGGCCACCACTAACCAATGCTAACAAGCAGAAATGGCTGCATTGGGCAGAAAAAGACATGAAGACTAATTTTCAAACAGTCCTGTTCACTGATGAGTGCCATGCAACCCTGGATGGTCCAGATGGATGGAGTGGTGGATGGTTGGTGGACGGCCACCCTGTTCCAACAAGGCTGCGACGCCAGCAAGGCGGTGGTGGAGTCATGTTTTGGGCCGGAATCATGGGAAGAGCTGGTCGGCCCCTTTAGGATCCCCGAAGGTGTAAAGATGACCTCTGCAAATTATGTGGAGTTTCTGACTGACCACTTTCTTCCCTGGTACAGAAGGAAGAACTATGCTTTCCGTAATAAAATCATCTTCATGCATGACAATGCACCATCTCATGCTGCAAAGAATACCCCTGCATCAATGGCTGCCATGAGGATAAAAGGAGAGAAAGTCATGGCCTCCATCCTCCCCTGACCTCAATCCTACTGAGAACCTTTGGAGCATCCTCAAGCAAAAGATTGAGGGTGGGAGGCAGTTTACATCCAAACAGCAGCTCTGGGAGGCTATTCTGACATCTTGCAAACAAATTCAAGCAGAAACTGTCCAAAAATTCACGAGTTCAATGGATGCAAGACTTGTGAAGCTGCTATCAAATAAGGGATCCTATGTTAAAATGTAACGTGACCTGTTAAAATGTTTAAAAAGTTAAAATGTTGTTATAAGTTTGATTGAAATAGCTTTTGATTTCCGTAAATATGCTGCAACCACTACAAATGAAAATTTTCAGTTCTTTACAACTGTCAGGATTACGGTTTGATCCAGCACGTAGAACTGTACAGCACGGATGACAAATAAGTAACGTATTACCAGTCCTTAGAATGGCCGGATGTAACGTACAAAGAATAGTCAAAAATACTAGCCGAGGTCAGGAACACAGAAAGGGACACAGCGATGAGGAAAGCCAGGAGTCAGGATACCAGAATATAGAGAAGTCAATAAACAAAGCCAAAGTAAAAAACAGGTAGAAAACTATAAACAGGAACGCGCTCTCGGACAACCACAAGGGAAACCACGACAGGGCACTGAGCAGGCTGAGAACTGGGCCTAAATACCCCTCCTTTAGTTCTGATAGGCTGTAACCGGCCTTTGACCCCAAAGTCAGTTACCAGGTTTCATTTGCATAATTGCTGCTCAGCATTAACCCTTCTGTGGATTAGGTTGCTGCTCGGCACAACTTTTCCTGTGTGGACAGTAAATGTCATTAACCACATTTCTATAAGCGGATGAATACGTGACATTACCCCCCACCTGAAGAACACCCACCGGGCGGACAGGACCAGGCTTGAGAGGAAATTTAGCGTGAAAAGCGCGGATCTTACGGCCCGCATGCAGGTCAGGAGCCGAAACCCAAGAACGATCAGCAGGACCGTAACCTTTCCAAACAACCAAGTACTGCAAAGTGCCCCGAGAAAACCTAGAATCCACGATAGAAGATACCTCATACTCTTCCTGACCACCCACCACCGGAGGGGGAGGAACACAAGGAACAGTATATCTATTGCAGACAAGAGGTTTGAGTAAGGACACATGAAAAGTGTTGGGAATCCCTAAAGATGCAGGAAGAGCCAGAGAGTAAGACACTGGATTGATCCTACGAAGCACTCTATAGGGACCAAGGAATCTGGGGGCAAACTTCATGCTAGGGACCTTAAGCTTGATGTTGCGAGATGACAACCAAACCCGGTCCCCCACTTGGTACACCGGGTTGGCACTCCTACGCTTATCAGCAAAATGTTTGAAGCGTTCAGCAGCAGCCCCTAGAGCAGTTTGAACCTTAACCCAGGTATCCCGAATGGAGGCCAGACGCTCATCCAGAGCAGGAATGGCAGTATCAGAAAATACCGCAGGGAGAACCGTAGGATGCCTACCATTATTGACAAAAAATGGACTGTGCCCAGAGGAGTCATGAACAGCATTGTTTCTAGCGAACTCGGCCCACGGGAGTAGTTCGGACCAATTGTCTTGTGTGCTATTAATAAAACAACGCAAATAAACTTCTAATGACTGGTTAGCCCTCTCAGCTGTACCATTGGTCTATGGATGGTAGGAGGAGGAGAAGGAGAGATCAATCCCCAATTGTTTACTGAACACAAACTGAGAGGCCCTATCGGACACAATATTGTGGGGGATGCCATGCAAACGGACAATTTCACGTATGAAAATTAGGACCAAATCTTGCGAAGATGGCAACTTCTTGAGAGGAATGAAGTGAGCCATCTTAGAAAATCGGTCTACAACCATGAGAATAGTAGTGAACCCAGCAGAGCTAGGAAGCTCAACAATAAAGTCCATGGATAAGTGGGACCATGGAATCTCAGGAACAGGAAGAGGCTGCAACAGGCCACAAGGAAGTGCATGAGTCACCTTAGAAACTGCACACACAGAACATGCCTGCACATACTCCTTTACATCTTTCCTGAGTGAATCCCACCAAAATGATCTAGTGATCGCGGCAGTGGACTTATTGATGCCCGGGTGTCCAGCAGTTATATTGTCATGGAACACTTTCATGATATTAACCCTTTCACATAGGGGAACAAACAGTTTATCACACGGTTTACCACTGGGCGCCTGAGGCTGGGCCTCCAGTATGGTGCCAAGCAGTGGAGAAGACAGTGAGAGGACAGTAGAGGCAATAATACACTCTGGTGGAATAATAGGAGATGTCACCTGTTCCAGAGTTGACTCATCAAATTGCCTGGACAAGGCATCAGTCTTGGTATTTTTAGAACCAGGTCTATAAGTAATGAGAAAGTTAAAACGTGAAAGGAACAGTGACCATCTAGCCTGTCTGGAAGACAAACGTTTGGCATCCCCTATATATGCCAGATTTTTGTGGTCGGTTATGATCAACAGGGGGTCCTTGGAACCCTCCAAAAGATGTCGCCACTCCTTGAGGGCAAGAATAATGGCCAACAGTTCTCTATTACCAATATCATAGTTGCGCTCAGCAGGAGACATCTTTCTGGAGAAGTAGCCACAAGGATGCAATGGTGTTCCCTGGCTTTCTCTCTGAGAGAGAACAGCCCCTACCCCTGTCTCGGATGCATCAACCTCCAATATAAAAGGTTTACTAGTGTCGGGATGTTTTAGTATGTCCGCAGAGGCAAATCTTTGTTTAAGAGTCTCAAAAGCATTCACAGCCTCTTTGGACCATACCTTGCTACTAACCCCTTTGCGAGTCATATTTGTGATTGGGGCTATTACAGAAGAAAATCCCTTGATGAATGTTCTGTAATAGTTGGCAAAACCAATAAACCTTTGAATGGCTTTTAAACCAGAGGGTAATGGCCAGTGTAGTACAGCCTCTAGTTTTTTAGGATCCATTTGAAATCCCGATGCAGAGATGTTGTAACCCAAAAAGTGGACTTCAGGCTGGTCAAATATGCACTTTTCTAATTTACAATAAAGTTTATTTTTCAACAACGTCTGCAGAACCTGTTTCACATGGGAGTGGTGAGTCTGAAGATCAGGGGAATACACCAAAATATCGTCCAAATAAACCAAGACAAATGAGTAAATGAATTCCCTGAGTACATCATTTATAAAGTCTTGGAATACGGCCGGGGCGTTGCATAACCCAAATGGCATTACCAGATATTCATAGTGTCCACTACGGGTATTAAATGCCGTCTTCCACTCATGATTCTCTTTAATTCTAACCAAATTGTAAGCGCTCCTAAGGTCAAGCTTAGTAAATACTTTAGCTCCCTGAAGTCTATCGAACAATTCGGAAATGAGTGGGATAGGGTATGCATTTTTTACAGTGATTTTATTAAGTGCCCTGTAGTCTATGCAAGGGCGTAACTCACCACCCTTTTTCTCAACAAAAAAGAATCCTGCACCAGCTGGTGAGGATGACTTTCTTATGTGCCCTTTGCTCAAGGATCTTTGATGTATTCCTCCATTATTTTACTCTCCTGGGGAGATAAGGCATAAACTGCCCCCTTAGGTGGCATAGCGCCTGGAAACAGGTTAATGGCACAGTCATATGCTCTGTGGGGAGGCAATACATCGGATTGAGCCTTGTTAAACACCTCCTGAAGTTCTCGGTATTGTATGGGAACTCCAGGAGTTTGGGGAGTGGTAGTGGGAAGGTCAATAGTATCCAATCTCTTTAGTACTGGTTTTATACATCTCCCCATACACTCTTTACCCCATTCTAATATCTCCCCATTAGCCCAGTCAATATAGGGATTGTGCTTACTCAGCCACGGAAACCCTAATATGATAGGACATGATGGAGAAGTAATAACCTGAAACGTCATCTCCTCCCTATGGGAGGCCCCAATGGAGATCGTAATAGGGACAGTTTCGTGGGTTATAAGCGGTTGTGTGAGTGGTCTACCATCAATAGCCTCTACAGCTAGCGGTGTAGGTCTCTCCCTGACCGGTATCTCATTACCCCTAATAAACTGGACATCAATAAAATTTCCAGCAGCACCTGAGTCCATTAGGGCACTGCAAGAAAACTTCTTGTTATCAATGGAAATAGATACCTCAAGGAGGAATCTACTTTTGTTTTTGTTAGAGGACAACTCCATCACACCTAAGATCTGTCCCCTTAAGGTTCTTAGGTGCGGAAGTTTTCCGGACGCACTGGACAATTAGTTATTATATGTCCCTTTCTACCGCAATATAGGCATAACCCCTCCCTTCTCCTATACTGTTTTTCGGCCTCTGACAGTCTAGTGACCCCCAACTGCATAGGTTCGGGTTCGGACTGTACAGGGAGGTTAGACAAAACAGGTTTAGAGAATTGAGGTGCTAGGGACATAGCCGTACGTCTGGTCTTGCTTCTGGTGACTTCTCTGAGTCTTAACCTATTATCAATATGCATGACAAACGTAATAAATTCGTTAAGACTCTTAGGTAATTCTTTAGCGGCTATCTCATCTAGTATAGTCTCTGAGAGACCCTTTTTGAATGCTGAGATTAACCCATTGTTAGTCCAGTCTACCTCGGAAGCTAAGGTACGGAATTCAATAGCATAATCCGAGATAGACCGGTTACCTTGTCTGATGTGCATTAGGGCAGTGGAGGCGTCATCCTCTCTACCCAATGGCTCAAACGTGAGCTTGAATTCGGCAAGGAATTCCTGGTAATTATGAGCTATGCTCCGATTACTCTCCCACAACGGATTAGCCCAGGCAAGGGCCTTGCCCTTTAATTGATTCATTAGCTAACCAATTCTTGCTCTGTCCGTGGGGAATGACCCTGGTGAGGCCTCAAAATGGTACTCCACCTGATTAAGAAAACCCCTGCATTCCTGGATATTGCCATCAAACTGTAGGGATGGTGATAAGGAGATGCTAGGAGTCATATTAACAGTGGGTGGAGGTACACAGGGTAGAGGTGCTATAGGAGGAGACGCTGCAGGCTGCAGATGCTCCGTTCTAGCGAGAAGCGTACTTAAAGCCTGAGTGAATTGATCCATGCGGTGATCATTCTCCTCTAATTTCCTCTCGCAAGCAGCTATGTGCTGACACAGTTCTACAGGATCTATGGCCATGTCGTAATGTCAGGATTACTGTTTGATCCAGCACGTAGAACTGTACAGCACGGATGACAAATAAGTAACGTATTACCAGTCCTTAGAATGGCCGGATTTAACGTACAAAGAATAGTCAAAAATACTAGCCGAGGTCAGGGAACACAGAAAGGGACTCAGTGATGAGGAAAGCCAGGAGTCAGGATACCAGAATATAGAGAAGTCAATAAACAAAGCCAAAGTAAAAAACCAGGTAGAAAACTATAAACAGGAACGCGCTCTCGGACAACCACAAGGGAAACCCCGACAGGACACTGAGCAGGCTGAGAATTGGGCCTAAATACCCCTCCTTTCTTTCTGATAGGCTGTAACCGGCCTTTGACCCCAAAGTCAGTTACCAGGTTTCATTTGCATAATTGCTGCTCAGCATTAAACCGTCTGTGGATTAGGTTGCTGCTCGGCACAACTTTTCCTGTGTGGACAGTAAATGTCATTAACCACATTTCTATAAGCGGATGAATACGTGACAACAACCTATAAAGTGTTCTGAAACTTACTGTGCGTAATTTGGAACAGTGCATTGTAAGTTTTTTATGTTTAAAGAAAATACTGTTATCATTATAAGGTTTGTTCAATAAAATTTGAATTGTACCCTTAATAGTTGATAACATGAAAATTATGCTGTTATTTTACATCAATTATTTAGGTAAATGAGAAAAATATCATTTGCATAATAATTTGGAACAGGGTGTATATATAGATTGAAAGTACAAATCAAGCAATGGTATAATGTGGTGAACCATGTAACAGTATTGAATTAGAAATGCACTAAATGAACTTCCTCTCATTAGAAGATCTGTTAATTAGCATTAGCTAGAATTCTTTCCTTGTTCTAAGCTTCCTTATTGCATCATAGCGGACGTCACACATTCCTCGAACAACCACAATGAGCAACACGAGAATCTGTGCGTGTGATGTAAGAGCGCGAGTCTGCTGTCTGGCACCGTTCCCCTTCACTGAATTACACGCTAAACTACAGAAACTGCAAAGCAACATTTCATCTGAATAGAGTCATACACAGAAACCCTTTCTATGAGCCAATATAATATATAAGGCACTTCTGAGTAGTTTATATAATAAAAATAACAGTCATGGACAGAGCATTCAGAAACAAAGCAGGATCCTATAGACTGTAAGCTTGTTTGAGAAGGGTGCTGCTGGGGCCAATTCATACAACATATTTACACACACAGAGAGAGCTCCAGTAAGTCTGGCTTCACAGCACTGGGCTAAACAACGGTGTCAATGCAGCAATATAAAGCTTGGCGGGAGAACAAGAACCTGCCTATAAAATAAAAAAAATTAAAAAAAAATTAAAAAAAAATAAAGCCTACATGCTTTCAAGACAGGATGAAATATTAATAGATGGAGATCACATGAAGGTGCCTCTCTCCTTCTCAAGTTAATTATGCATTGCCTCCAACTTCCCTTTCGATGGACATTTAAATCCCAGCCTGCATAATTACAATGTGATCTATAAAATTGGCCAAATAACTGGTAAACGATAGCTAAAAAGTTATTTCCATTTTATTCTGAATTCCGCAGTCTTTTCTGCCGCCATTGCCAATATGGCACAAATCCCAAGTGTGACAATTATTGGAATGGAACCCTCAGACACCGACTTGGTGAGACTACATCAACAGGAACTACCACAAGATGGTGTTCAGCATGGCCACATTCAGGGCCAGGCTCATTGCAGCCCTAAAAGTCACCCAACAGGATAACAAAAAAAGACATTTATACATTTTGTTCTCTGCTCTTCCTCATCAATATGACCAACATTCTCTTCAGGGCAAAGGGTGTTATTATTCAGGAGGTGAGCGTCGAGCAACAGGAGAAAAAAAAAAAAAATGAAGTCAGCGTATTTGTAATAAATCTGGAATAATTAGGGCAGTTCTGGTATTTTCTCCTGTGTTTTAAAGTCACATTGTGAATTTGCTGCAGTGTGCCCTTCACTGACTAACGGCTCTCACACACTAATCTATAAAGGTAAATACCCTGGTATCGATTCTTCTCTGCACAGTAATATATGGGATCAGTACAAACTCTGCTAATATATTCGCTATTTGGAGTAGACAAGAGGTCATCCTTTGAAACTTGAAGAAAGCTGATTTCACCAACAGCAGAGGAAATGGTTCTTTACAGCAAGAAAAACAAAGAAAGGAATTCTTACTTTAGCGGTAAATGAAAATGGATAACAAAGTTGGAAGTTACTTGCCAAATCTTAATCATTTACTAAACTAAAAGAGTCACTCCAAGTACCATGATAACTGTAACATTTTAGAGTTAGCTTATTGTATTATTATTAAGGCTTTTTTTAATGGTAGACAATTCTCTTTGCCAAAGCTCACTCCCTCAGTTTGCAAATTCATTATCAACAAATATAAATTCTTCATTCATTATCCATCCAGGTATTTGTGCAGTGAGAGTAAGCGTGTTGTATGGATGCTGTGTGATCGGAGGCTCTAAACACTGGAATTCAAGCTCAGATCACATTCTTTTAGCGTGGCTTAAAAGGACACAGGCCGTACCGATACAAATCAGACCATTATTTGCACTGCCAGAAAATACATCCCCACAACAAGGAAACCTCTGAAGGTTTAAGGAAGTAGGACGCAACATTAAATTGGTCACCTCCACTCAAGAGTTGGTTACAAAAAAAAAAAAAAAACCAAGTAAAGTTCAATTACAATAAAAAACATTTGCTGGAAATATTGTTTAAAATAGATGTAAAGTAAACTTTAGGTCACCAACTGGCATCTGCAAATAACTGCAGAGAGATAAAGCCACGAAAACAGAGAGGTATTTGAAGCAAATGCCACCAAAGTACAGAGTTTATAAAATGAAGAAACCTTCCTATGATGCAGAGATTTACACCAACTGGAGATTAATCTACCACTGCAACTAGCATTTTTCAACATACAAAACGTGCAAGAAGTATTAAACTATATCTTGAAAATGACGACACGCCGTCTTGTTACAACGTTGTGAGAAGTCTCTCTGTATAAACCCACTATAAGCTTTATTTACAGCAGCGAACACAAAGTCAACATTAACAGTTTAACACATTGACCATTAACGTCTTTACAGCTCCACATAGCAAGCAGACGTTTCAAGAAGTTAATCAACTGGCTAATGGTCCCGCTTTGACCATAGAATCCTCCCTTTGATTGTTCCAGATGACCCAGTGGAAGCCATAGGTATAATAGTTGGTATAGTACTATAACTGCTTGATAGGTGGAAATCAGCCAGTACGAATTCCACGTTGTCAAATGTAGGGACTAATCAATCTCTTCCTAATCTTTTTTAAATGCAAATGCAGACAATTTATTTGTAGCTTGGTTTAAAGGCTTGCACTTCTTTGCAGCTCTGAACTCATCATCTGGATCTTCACTGGTCTGGTTTCCATTTAATTGTCGATTTTCCTGTTCTGGCTGTTTTCTCTTCTTCAAATCAACCATATTTTCACCACTGGAACCTCCCTTGGCTTTCTCGATCCACAGCTACATCATATTATGGGAGAGGAGAAACAAAACAGAATACATACATCAAATTAAGGCCAACTTGCTTTCACCCTCATTGCAATGCATACATATTTTTTAATCCATTTTATATTTTAAGAACACAGAAAAAGAAAACTCCACACAATATAAAACACTGACACGATAGGAAAGGAGTCCAATGGTGCAGGAATTTAAAGGTGAAGCCTTCGACCTTACCAAATTAAAATACACAATTAGCATTATTTTAAATAAGATGACTACAATTTCTATGATCCCCTGCTGCCTTTGGCTGGATGACAATAAGAGCTGTATTAAAAAGGATGGTTGGTTCCAGAAGCAGTTGTCGTGGATTGTCTCATTGAATGCTACTTTAGACTGTAAGCTCGTTTGAGCAGGGTCCTCTTCAACCTATCGTTCCTGTAAGTTTTTCTTGTAATTGTCCTATTTATATTAAATCCCCCCACTCATAATATTGTAAAGCGCTATGGAACCTGTTGGTGCTATATAAATAGCAATGACAATAATTAAAAGGCTCTGTGGAAGTAAAACAGTCTATGGGGAGGGAGGAGGCAGGGCTGCAAGTCACTATGGCTCCAGAGGAATGTTGCCAATTGGAACTAAATGCTTGCTTTTCCCGGCGAGTAATACGCTGGAAGTCCATAGCACAAGGACTTGGAGCGCCTGAAATCGGGTGATTCTGGGTCCCGGAGAGAGATTCTGAGACAGAGGCTTACCCAGAAGGGGAGTGAAGCGGACAGCCGCTGCTTCGCTTACCGCCCAGCCAATACACATCGGCAACTTACCCGACGCCCTACTGGTGGAACGGAGGTGGTGGCTCAGTAGCAGGCCTGGGTCTGGCATGACATGCGATCGGTGCTCCTGTGCTCGAAAAGCATCGAGCTTTGGCAGATGAGTCCCTGCCATCACCAAGACAAGGCAGGAACTGTACAAATCTACACCTAGCACAAGTCTAATGTAACAGCGAGTATTCTTGTAACATAGCTGCAGACGTTGCTATGTAATTAGCTTAATGTGGCTCTTAACACCTTAGTCTTTTCTGCACGCTCACATGATAATCTAACGCAAATAATTTCCTATACTGTCAGTTAGTACCACCATTTTCGCTCATGACCAACCAACTACTGACAGTCTCAGCCTGAGCAGTTCCATGAACAGCTGTTTATGTCTATAATAGAAGTTTATCCAATGCCAAAGTCTCCTGCTCCCAGTATTGGTGGGTGCCAGGGGTTTATTATGCTAACTGCAATTCAGTGGGTCACAAATCGTGGCAGTACGCCCTTCAGGGCTTGACAAATTTGTTTGGAATCTAGGAGCCAGCTAAAAAAGTTAGGAGACAGTTTTTTTTTTTTGTTTTTTTTTTTAAAGTGACACTATAGTCACCATAACCACTACGACGTAATGTACTGGTTCTAGTGCCTATAGCCTATCCCAGTAGCCTTTTCAATGTAAATGCTGTATTTTCAGAGAAAAGGCAGTGTTTACATTGCTGCCTACTAAGACCTTTAGTGGCTGTCACTCAGACGGTCACTAGAGAGTCCTGTGTCAGTGCTCTGCATGGAGGTGCTGAATGTTACCTATTCAGAACATGCGCAATATCCAACCAATGGTTTCCTATGGGAAAGCATTGGCTTAGCTGAGATCATAAAAATTGATGAACTCGGCAATGGAGGAGAGACAAGCCACGGCAAAACCTGCACGGCGTGGGGAAAAAAGGAGAGTTAGAACACCAATCATGTGATCGGAGGGTACCTAAACAGACACATACTGAGAGGCACACACACACACACACCACACTGACAGAGACACACACACACTTCCTCAAACACTCACAAATTAAATTTTTGTGAGAGCTGAGTGGATTTTCCCTGGGGTCCAGTGGGGCTGCTCTCTCTTCATGTGTGAGAAGGAGCAGTAATCTACTAAGCAGCTACTCTTTGCTCCCTGTGATGCCGGGGCCGGAATGACGTCATATTCAGTCTCCCAGCATCATTAAACAGTGTGAGAGAGCAGAGAGGAGCCGCTGGAAGATCACTGCCCCCTTGCACGCTGCGCCAGCCGGCCGCCTTGATGCTCCACTGAGCCGGCCGCCTCTATAGAGCCTAGGTCGGCCGTCTACAATGCTCACTCAGCCGTCTGCCTCCATAAAGCCCAGGGCAACCAGCTACAATGCTCACTGAGTCGGCCGCCTCTATAGAGCCTAGGTCGGCCGTCTACAATGCTCACTCAGCCGTCTGCCTCCATAAAGCCCAGGGCAACCAGCTACAATGCTCACTGAGCCGGCTGCCTTTATGCTCCCGCGGGTGGACGGCTGGCTCCATTATTTGTCCAGCGGGCCATTTTAGATAAACTGACGAATCCCAGGCGCCAGGGAAAAATGTTTAGTTGCCATGGCGACCTGAAATATGTCGAGCCCTGCCTTATCTTCTGAGATACTAATTCCATGCCAAATGGTATACTGCCCTAGCACAACTAACCTGTTTTATTTAATATTTACTCCTGTTTTCCATGTCTAGCTAACCTATCACTTTACCTACACGCATACTAGCCTACAGCTAGGACATGAAAGTCTCACAAGTTATTTATTATAAAATGGTGCACGTTTTCTCTTGTTTCCAAATGTTATATATGTATGTTGATTAGCTCGTGGACTGCCGTTGGGGCACCTCAAGCATGTTGTACACACTTGCACTGCAAAAATATTTATTAAAAAAAAAAAGTCTATTGGATCAGTCTGATAAAGCGCACAA